TGGGATCAGTTGCAATGCATATATGTGAATGATAAAAGTAAATTGCACATTTGTCGAAGGAAATGTAAGGTGCTTCATGAAATGTTTTGTAAAAGATATGTTCATTTAATTTCAACATTTTCCTAATGTTCTTGTGCTTCTTTATACCAAAACAAAGGAAAGACATATTGTTTTGGTTATTTATAGCAAAGTATGGTATCATTTTAATGGTCCGGCCCACTTGACATCTACCGAGGCCGTATGTGGCCCACCATGTGAAATGATTTTGACACCCCTGGGTTAGCGCGTCGCCCTCACCGTGCAGAGATGCAGGGTTCGATTCCAACTCTTGCCTTCCTGTGTGGAGTTTGCATGTTCTCCCCGGGCCTGCGTGGGTTTTCTCTGGGTACTCTGGTTTCCTTCCACATTCCAAAAACATGCGTGGCAGATTAATGGAACACTCTAAATTGTCCCTCGGTGTGAGTGTGAGTGCGGATGGCTGGCAACCGGTTCGCCCTGCGATTGGCTGGCAACCGGTTCAGGGTGTCCCCCGCCTACTGCCCGAAGACAGCTGGGATAGGCTCCAGCACGACCCGCGACTTGTGTGATGATAAGCGGATCAGAAAATGGATGGATGGATGAAATGAAATTAATAAATAGATGAATAAATAAAATTAACAATTTTCACATGGTTATTATGAAGTGTTGTGTGTTGGGTTTTGAGGGGAAAACTGAATTTATTCAATTTTGGAATGAGGCTGTGTCAACATTTGGAAAAAGTGAAGCGCTGTGAATACTTCCTGGATGCAATTTATGTGTTATTAAACCTCGTTGCAGTGTTCTGTATTTGCACAATTTCAACAGCAGATGTCACTCTTGTACAAGATAAGATCAAATGCAGGCCTCTTTTCTTTTCTCTGATCAGGCCAGTTTTCCATCCGACCAGACAAGAAGTCAGAACCAAGGAATTTGAAGTTCAAACATATTGGCATGATTGCTGGAGGAACAGGTTTGTTTAGGTCATATTAATGTCTGTTAGTGAGTCGTACTTGTGTTATTGATAAAGCACTGTTAAAATAGAACATCTTCATGAATTGGGAAGATCACTTTTGTGTCGGTACAGGTTACTTTATCCTTCCCACTAATTGCAAGACAAGGATCATGTATGAGTAATATGAATGAATTGTTTTCCCATTACAGGTATCACACCAATGTTGCAGTTAATTCGGACAATCACAGCAGACCCCAGTGACAACACGATGTGCCATCTCATTTTTGCCAACCAGGTCAGCTCTCTACTGTATTCTTATTTATATCGTTTATATATATTTTTTTATGTATCGCACTTTGTTGTACTCCAGACAGAGAAAGATATTCTACTCAGGGAGGAGCTCCACGAGGTGGAGAAGAGCCATCCTGAAAAGCTGAAGCTCTGGTTTACGCTGGACAAACCTAGTGAGGGTAATCAAGCATTTCTTCAAAGCCGAGCGTCATTGTGACTTTCCCAACAACACTGGCTTAATGTGACTGAGTATGTTGGCTGCTGTAAGTATATAATGGAGTGGAAACTCCAATGTCGACCACAAAACATTCTGTGATGCCAGTCGGCTCTTAGTTCTTCAGATTTCAAAACAAATCTTTCCATAGTATTGCTATGATGACATTTTAATGAGTTGTTTAGGGAATGTCAACAGGAATAACTGTCATGTGTGTACTACGACACCATGAATTCTGATGCATTAATGATATTAACACTTCCATTGAAAAGCTCTATCATAAATTCACACAAGATATTGGCAGCACAAGTATTGGCGAAAGTCTCTAAGCTTTGGCGACACTGTTGAATTTTCCAAGTGAGGAAGCTAACAAAGACTTGTCGGCTGAGGGAAAATCCCAGCAGACCGAGCAAGGAGCTAGAGCTCTGACACAGTGTTAAAGCAGCTTGGAAAAACCGCACATTTGCATAATCCTTAAAGCGAGAAGAAAATAACGAGCAAAATATTTTACATAAGCTCTGTTGTAAAATCTTTGAAGGATGTTCCTACTCTTCCTTGCTGTGTCTTCATTCGTTCGACAGATCCATGATCATCATTCATTAGAAGTACAGTAGTGCTGTCATGCTTTGGAGTGGTTTTTATTCTTGGTTTCCATAGATCTCAGCAAAAGCTTGTTCCTAATTTTCAAGCAGAGGCTAATTACTTGAAAATGTAATTATTTGCATCAATTTTTGAGACCTGATTTATCAAATACAGATTTTGTTCCGAGTGTTAATGTTTTTAAGAGAGACTGAGAATGAACAAGAGCATCAGTGAATGTCAAACACAGTGTTATGCTTTTCGGATGGACTACCATGTTTGGTTACCACAACAGCTGTTTTCCATTTTAAATCTAATATCGTGACTCTTACTGTCATGAGGAATACATTTACATCAGTGGCGGCCCGTGCATTTCAACCTTAGGCCTTCAGTGAAGTCACATACATGAACACAATACTGTATAGGCTCGTCAAGCAGCACTTAATTTCAGGAGCATTTAAAACCATCAAGTATGCATTCACAATTAAGAGCAGGAAACTACTTTTACAGATAGTCAAAAATAAAAAGATGATTTAAAAATACGAAATAAAGTGCCACCCAAATTACGCTGTGTGATCTTAAACAAGTCTGTCCAATAAATTGCGCAATGTCGCAGTTTCATATAAGACACCAACCAAACAATAACAAAACAAACTATTCTTTGAAAATAAAGTAAACAGATCATTTGCATTTTGAAAATCTGCGATACAACAGCAAATAACTGACATAATTGACTAACGAATAACTGACGAACAGCTGAGATTGAACGAACTTTCGTGCACGAAGGTGACTACAATGCGTCATTATAAATTGCAGGTGAGCAGATTTATTTGATA